GTGACAAATTCAAGCTGAGTCACGTTTTGGAACTGAACTTAGTATTGTCTCGTAAGTGCTGCTCGTGCTTGCTTGTGCCTGCTCATGTTGTTTAGACTTCCAGTGTCTTTGTTTCCAGTAATTAAAGTGTATCTGTAAAGTGAGGAGAGATTAGGGTGTGCAGTTTCTTGGAAAAGCCTGTATGTGCACGTCCTTACTAAGAACAGATCTCCAGAGAGCTAGCCATGTGGAACAAGGACATCTATGACATCTACAGTGTGTGGTGTTAAACAGACTGAAAGCCAACTGCTTGTGCACACCAACTTGTTTTGGGGATTGATGTTCATAGTCACATATCTCTCTCAAATGTATTAGTTTACATTTTTTATAAAAATATATATATTCCCTGTTCGTCTTTTCGTTAGCAATTTCCCTGTTACAGTACTACATATCCAGTCTGGTGCATAAAGCAGTGAATAACACCAGAGTCCTGCTGAGGCATGTCTTCACAGGGTCAGGGAATGTGACAGTGAGCTGTTGGGGCCACAGTCAGACCCAGGTCTACTTCATTAACCCCTGGCATGTTCCTGTTGGGTATCCTCACACATCGAGACAGACAGGGGACGCCAATGGGTCTGGCACCAGCTTACCTGCCATGCAGACTCCCAGGCTGGTGTCTTTCTGTCGGTCTGCCCATGGGCCTATCCCCTGGGAGTCCTCTGGGCTGAGGTGTGAGGGAAGCTTGCTTGTCTGGAGGGTCAGACCAAGTTCAGTAGAACACTCCACACAACAGTAGTGAACTGGAGGAATTCCACAGGAGAACAGTATCCTGGTTGGAACAGGACTGTTTGTATAAGGCCAACCACATCTGTGGGAATAACAATGTTTTAGTTGCAATGGTTAATACATGTAACTAACATCTACTAGTTGTATGGTGGCAGGTAGCTTAGTGGTAGGTAGCTTAGTGGTTAAGAGCGTAACCGAAAGGTTGCTGGTTCTAATCCCCGAGCCGACTAGGTTAAAAATCTGTCGATGTTGTCACGATCGTCGGTAAGAGAGGAGGACCAAGGCGCAGCGTTGAATGCGAACATATTTATTATAGGTGATACACGATCAAAACAACAAAACAATAACGTGACAGTCAACGGTCTAACACAAACCAACTAGAACAAGAAACCACAATGAATGAATGCCTAACGGCTACCTAAGTATGACTCCCAATCAGAGACAACGAGCTACAGCCGTCTCTGATTGGGAGCCACCCTGGCCAACATAGATATACAACAACTAGAACCAACACACATGAAAACTCACACCCTGGCTCAACATACTAGAGTCCCCAGAGCCAGGGCGTGACAGTACCCCCCCCCCCCTAAAGGCGTGGACTCCGACCGCGCCAACCAAATACCACAGGGGAGGGACCGGGTGGGCACTCCGCCTTGGCGGCGGATCCGGCTCCGGGCATGATCCCCACTCGCTCTCTAACCCCCCAAGGTACCCCTGGTCCGGTCTGGCCCTGCTGACCGGAGCTGGACTGCACACTGGTGGAGCGGATTGCTCTAGCTCCGGCGTGAAGCAGCTGACCCGTGCTGAACCAGGCACCAGTGGAACAGGCACGGGCTGTGCCGGACTGACGACGCACACCACTGGCTTGGTGTGGGGAGCAGGAACGGCCCGAGCCGGGCTGACGAAACGCACCCCTGACTTGGTGCGGGGAGCAGGAGCGGGCCGAACCGGGCTGACGAAACACACCACTGACTTGGTGCGGGGAGCAGGAACGGGCCGAGCCGGGCTGACGAAGCGCACCACTGACTTGGTGCGGGGAGCAGGAACGGGCCGAGCCGGGCTGACGAAGCGCACCACTGACTTGGTGCGGGGAGCAGGAACGGGCCGAGCCGGGCTGACGAAGCTCACCACTGACTTGGTGCGGGGAGCAGGAACGGGCCGAGCCGGGCTGACGAAGCGCACCACTGACTTGGTGCGGGGAGCAGGAACGGGCCGAGCCGGGCTGACGACGCGCACCATTGGCCTGGTGCGGGGAGCAGGAACAGGCCGGACCGTACTGGGGACACACACCACTGGTCCTACGCAGGGATCTGGAATGGGCCGGACCGGACTGGTAACACACCCCAGTACCTCTCGCCGTGCCTCTACACCTTCCATCCCCTCTTCGACCAGTGGCCCCCGTATCCTGGCGGCCTCCTCTGCCAACCCACTGGGCCGCTCTGCCGCGGTCTCCTGCTGGCCCGTCGTCCACAGCGTTAGCCCCCCCCTAAAAATTTTCTGGGCGTCTCTCCTACCCGTGGACCAGGTCTCCATGTCCCTCGCCAGCCTTTCGCCCTTCTGCTTCCATGTCAAGCCCTTCTCTTCCTCACCCGGCTTGACCCAGTCGAGGAGGCGAAGGAGGTCTGCTAGAGATCTCCCTGGCGATGGCTCCTGGACACGCTGCTTGGTCCAGTCTTGGTGGTTTCTTCTGTCACGATCGTCGGTAAGAGAGGAGGACCAAGGCGCAGCGTTGAATGCGAACATATTTATTATAGGTGATACACGATCAAAACAACAAAACAATAACGTGACAGTCAACGGTCTAACACAAACCAACTAGAACAAGAAACCACAATGAATGAATGCCTAACGGCTACCTAAGTATGACTCCCAATCAGAGACAACGAGCTACAGCCGTCTCTGATTGGGAGCCACCCTGGCCAACATAGATATACAACAACTAGAACCAACACACATGAAAACTCACACCCTGGCTCAACATACTAGAGTCCCCAGAGCCAGGGCGTGACAGATGTGCCCTTGAGCAAGGCACTTAACCCTAATTGCTCCTATAAGTCGCTCTGGATAAGAGCGTCTGCTAAATGACTAAAATGTTGTATAGCTTGCCATGCATACAGAACAATCATCAATACCATCAAGCAGTCTCCAATGTTGTATCATGGTACTGTTTTCTTGGGCCTGGGTTGTGGGTTCGATTCCAACGGGGGGCCAGTATGAAAAATGTATGCACTCACTAACTGTAAGTCGCTCTGGATAAGTCTGCTAAATGACTAAAAAAAATTTTTTTTTAATTACACAGATTCCAAGGTTATACTCCTACAAGGGTTCTGAGCCTGGCTGCAGTGCTGGGGATGAGAAGGACAGGGAGCTCAATATCTCTGATGAGGCCCGGCTCCTCAAGCAGAGGGTCCTGCGGCAGATCCCCCAACAGCAGAGGATGATACTGGGCCAGTCCTACACCTCTGTCATCACCCAGCGCATCCCACGGAGAGGAGAGATCGCTATGAGGTCCCACAACTCCTCATGCTCTGTGCATACCAGCCACTACAGCCCCACCACTAAATACGTTGTCACTGTGGAGCCCATTCAGAAGGATACAACTCTAAACATGAATAATGCATGACATGCAGTGTCAACTAGCAGCAATTTAATATAAGCTTACAACAATGCAGTGATTCAACCATTGCAACAGCATTTATGCAGTAACAGCAAGCGCAATCAGGTGTATTGAAGGCCCGTGAGTAGGAATTATATGATGTGTGTTTCTTTGTGATATGGCAAACATAATAAGACGAGGGCCAAAGCTTTGCTTGAAAGAATGCCTCCTATTCTGTTGACAAATACCCAATAGAAGACATAAAAGCATGTCTGAAATAATGTTACTGTTCTCATTAGCTTTGCCAATAACATAGCTGAATCATTAAGAACAGACATATCAATAAAGTGACACGCCTTGATCCTGTCCACATTGAGCGCTGTGTCTTTATCTCTGTCATTAGAGGGATTAATAAATAGGATTTGAGAAAAAATCTGACTCCATCTTTCCTTCTTACTGCCTACCATGGGAAAATGTTGAACAAAAGACTGTCTTGAAGAAATAACCCACATTTTATCACGATGAGGGACATGCATGAAATTAAATATGACACTTTCATTACTGTTTCGTAATAGCATGCGTCTATGTTTACATATCCTCACTTCGCATTAAATCATTTTTTTGCCTTGAACTGGTGGGATGATTCAACAGAACAGTTCCATTTGTTCCATCAGTCATATTCTGCTCATTATTCTGTCTGGGGGAGGCTGATATTTTCTCATTAACAGGGTCAAATATTCCAACATGTCCTTCTATTCAGAGGATGTTGTTTCTTGACAAGTGTTTACTGGTGATTTAGATTGTAGCTAAAGTTGCTACTGTATTGGTTGCTGTCGTTCCAAGAAGAGTAATTCACATACATAAATTCAATAAGATGAAGGTATAGAGTTTTTATTCAGCTCATAACAATTTTAAAAAATGGTCATGAGTATTTCATTTCAGTATAGGAATATAAACATAAATGTATACATATACTTATCTCAAGTGTTTATCACTTGACCTACATTACAATTGTATTAATTTCCAGGAGCCTAGTCACTCATCTTGGTGACAAACAATATGGATATGAAAAGTGCTCACGTTGATTTAAAAAAAGTTATGTTTGTGTATGAAAGTAATTAAGTGCTTGCCCTGCAATAGTTGATTATGGGATAATAGTAATTTGATCAAAAATCATTTTGCTCTTTATGAGCTAACTTTGGCACCTTTTACCAGACGGCCACATAATGTCACTGTACTCTGGCCATCACATTCACATTTCTTTGCAAAAGTATTCAGTGTAAGGAGCAGCTTTTAGACAGTTACATCAATTAATTGTTTCATTGTAAATAATATGCAAGATCTACAATCTCTGTGGACAGTGTGCTCTCTCCAAGTCAGTCCTGTCCTGCAGCAGTCAGCCACAACTAGCAATAACTTTGGGTACTAGTCTCCATTTCCACACCTGTACTGCCAACTGCCCCTGTTTCTGCCCTTCATTGTCGTTTCTGAGCCATAAGGCAGTCTCTGGATCCCTTTGGCACACACCAAGTCATGTCCTGATGCCAGAGCACAGGCATCATACAACAACTCATGTCAGACCCATGCATACATTGATTACAGTATACAATGTCTTCCTCCCTGTGCCATAGACTCACAACGAATCCGTCCTTCTCCTGGCAAAAACTGCAGACATGCTTTTCACAATGCCCTTGATTCCAGCTTGCTTCTTGATGGCAGACTTGGACTCCCGTACCCTGTCTATTAGTCCGTGAAACACCATGAGGACACTGTGGTAGTTCTCAGCAGCTGAAACCTCATAGAACTGGCAGTCTGTTGTGAGGGCTAGCATTCTGCCCTCCTCACTGAGGACTGTCCGTCTGTGATTCAGGTCCCTCTTGTTGCCCACAATCACAATGGGCACCTTGTCCATGCCCGGGTAGTCCTTAATGGACTGGATCAGCTTGGTGACAGAGTTGAAGCTGGCCCTGTCACAGATGCTGTAGACCAGGACAAAACCGTCCGCCCACTGGACTCTCTTCTCATATGGAGAGGTCTCCATGGACAGTTCCTGGAAAAGGTGAAAAGATATATACAATTGATATAGGCTTGCTTGGATCAAACAGTGATAGGTTTTGTATTGGGAAAGGAACAATCTTGGAATAAGTTAGTCAGTCCATGTAAGTCCTATTTCTCTGGGCCGATTGTGTCCAGTCACTGTGGTCGTGCATGGTGCTAGTAAAAGGGGACTCATTCATGCCAAAGACAACCAGGCGCTACTTTGCAGTAATACTCACTGCAGTACGGGAAAATGGCAGCATCATAAATCTGTGTCTACCATAAAGGCACTTATAAAGTAGCCTATTATTAACTGAAGTGCTCTGTATAAGATGCCAAATATTCTCAAATCTTGCAGTCATTTCAAAGGACTGAATACATTAGCTTTTCCCAATGCCATGTAAAAGCGAAATACAGTTTCAGACATCAAGATGATGGCACATTATAACAGCAGGTTGACATGTATTGACATGAGGCAGAACTGAGTGATTTCCCCTTAGATAGGTCAGCTGCAAAGTCAAATTTGGCTCTATTGTAAAAATCCATGAAAAAAATTAGCTTTTTGACCTTCATTTAAGTTTAGGGTTAGGCATTAGGGTTAGTAGTGTGTTTAAGGTTAGGGTTAAGGTTAGCGTTAGGTTTAAATTCAGATTTTATGACTTTGTGGCTATGACCGCTATTGTCCACTCTGCAGAGCTGCCTCTAGAACAAGATTCATAAAGAAAAAAGCTAACCTGCATTACAACAGCTTAAATGTTAACATTTTGTCATACCTGACAATATGGCGAATCCCAGATGTTAAAAGTTATGTCCCTTCCATCCATGATAACATTGTGGCTGTAGATTGATTCTGAAAGGAATTAACAGACAAATATTAATTTAGTTGTACTGTATAGGCCTACAATAGTTAAATGGTTGCTTGATATTACAATATCTGGAGATGACAAACAAAACTTACCAATATTCCCATATTCTCCAATGAATCTTCTACTTAAAAAGCGGACTGTCAGTGCTGTGAAACAATTATCATAATCATCATCATCATCATCATCATCATCATCATCATCATCCTACTAAGTATGTTGAGGAAAGGAATGGATCCAGTTAGAAATGCCAGAATGGTCCACTGACCATTGCACTGTAGACTTTAATACATTGCACAAATTATAAATAATGAGAGATTTGGTCTCACCAGATTTACCAACACTGTCTGTCCCAAGAACTACTACATTAGCATCCATTTTTAAAGCGTTGAGACCTGTCATGGTTCTTGCTGCTGTTTATTGGTCCGACTGGCTCAGGACCATCTGAGATGTTGAATAGCAGAGAGGAGTTTTATGCCCCAAAGAGTGTTGCGCGCACTAATTTAAGGGGGCGTGGAGATATACTCTGGACCATTCAATTCTGGAACATTCCATTTATTTAGCATAGCCTACAGACTGAAGAAAACTATTGTCTTAGCGTGAAGAATGTCTAACCCTAACCCGACTTTTGAATAACCAACACGTTTGCAGCACACGTATTTACAAAATATATACCTCAGATTATTTTTAAAGTTTGTGGATATAAATGGTATCTTCCAAATGGCAATTACGCATATGTCTGGTGAGGGTTTGCATACAGTAGTGGGGAAACTGTTCTATTGTGCTTTTACTATTGAGTGGTGTAAGCTAAAGTCTGATTACTTTGCTACCAAAGATAATCATTCGTTTTTTAAGGACAACGTAAAAACGTGTTTGCATGCAAAGGGGGAGTGGAAACTAATATTTTGCAAGTGTGCGTATACAGTAGGCCTACAAGAGTGCATTTCATACTTACTATCTGAATGTGATTATCTAAATGTAAATGCGAAACTATTTTTTGTTTATATGTAACGAGCTGCAAACAACTCAATTAAACTATTGAGTCGTTTGTAATATCTACAGTACTATGTAACCAAACGTGTGCTGTGATATTACAACCAACCACTAGATGGAAGCAGAACATTTGATAATTTTGGCACCTACAGTTGTATGACTGTAGCCCACTGTAGATTTAACGGGGTAGAAACGTCGACCTATTTTGAACTCACTCTTGTTGGTCTGCCCTGTGCCAGGTGTATGTGATTGTTAATTAAGGGCGTGGCCTTTTGTATAAAAGCCTTCCTGTTTGTGTCATACAGGGGATCCCTTTACTATGTTCTGGTCTGTGTGCCTGGGGAGAATGGGAGTAGTGATGGTAGCGGTTTAACAAAGTAAATATGAGCAATAGGAATTATTGTAAATGTAGTGTTTTTATAGGCGTTGGTGCTCATATTCCACCTAGACCTGCTCTCCTTCTCCCTGGGCATGCCCTCCGTGAGGGTTTCTACACATAATTATCTGAGTATGTGTATATAATGTATAAACCTAGTGATATTTGTTTGAGTAGTCTGTCCTAACAAAAAAATATTGCAGTCAGAGTGCAGTATTTTTGCAGTACACTGAAGTATAACTGTAGTTAGAGTGCAGTATAACTGCAGTATGTTGCAAATACTGCGTCCAAAATAACACAATTTTTTTACTGCAGTAATTGTGCAGTGTAACTGCAGTTACAGTGCAGTATAGCTGCAGTTCAACAGCAGTACACTGCAGTTATTCTGCAATTACTGCACCCAAAATACCCCAGTCGACTGCAGTTACTGCACTTTTACTGCAGTTTCAAAACTGCAATATTTTTTTGTAGGGGTGATATTGCTGTCTGGCTTGTAGGACAGTTGTATGGAATGTAGCTCAGTTGGTAGAGCATGGCGTTTGCAACGCCAGGGTTGTGGGTTCGATTCCCAAGGGGGGCCAGTATGAAAAATAAACTAACTGTAAGTCGCTCTGGATAAGAGCGTCTGCTAAATGACTAAAATGTAAATGTATGGAGCTCCTGGAGCTGAAGATGTGTGGAAATTATGTAGGCCTATGGGGATTGTGCCTTATGACACTGAAAACGAAAATACATTGTTGCATCCTGATATTGTTGTCCGATTCCTATGATCCACTCCTTGATGCAAAGAACCTACCTGTGTTATGTTTAGCTTAGACCCGAGGACCCCACCTCGCGTATAAAAAAAGGTGGCATAGTACGGCTACAGGAATTGATATTTATGTTAAATCCCCCATGTTACATAGACTAGTTTTCTTTAGGGTTTTGGGCCACAGTAGTATACATTCTAGTCCCTGATCATTTACTGTATGTAGATGGGCCTTTGGCTATGGGATGAATGCTTAATAACAGCTTTTTTCTATCTATGCTAATTTGGACATCTTGTGGTTACCCACTGGGCAAAAACTGGTTGAAACAACATTGTTTCCACGTAATTTCAACCAAAGAACTGTGGTGATGTTGTATCAACTTGGAAAACTGATTGGATTTGCATAAAGTCATCAACATAAGGGAATTTTGAGTTTCTTTTCACCAAAACCTTTAACCAAAATCCAATGACACTGTGAAAATAAATGTATAATCCACATTGAATTCACGTTAGTTGCCAACTCAACCAAATGTAAATCGAAACTAGACGTTGAACTGATGTCTGTGCCAAGTGGGTAGTTTCTCCACAGGGAGGAAATCTCAGTAGCACATCATTGTAGAATAAAACAACAGGATGGTAAGTGCATTATACAGTTTTTATTCAGAAAAGCCTAAGAAGCATATAATACACAGGCGGATTTGCGTGGATATTCAGGTTATGAATGCAGAACTGGATTTGTCCCATACTTTGACCATATTACAAGACCTTCATCTGAACTCAAAGGAAACACACTATCCAACTAATGCGTGGATTTTATACTTTTATACTTTATATTTTTTGATTAATTTATCTCATGTAATTTATTTTTTATTAATTTATCGCACGCCATGTAATTTCAACGTGGAAAATTGGGTAATATTTGGTTGTGATGTTGATCAATGAGATTTCAACCTTCATTCACCCACTCAAAGACAGCCAGAAGTTTGTTTAAATGGAATATTATGTTAAACTTAAAACAAATATGCAATGAATGTCATAACTGACTAATTTGGACATTTTGGGAATGTTCTGTGCAACCTGTGAAACCTATGTGAATATCACAAAAAATATTATTGCAACATCCCAGACAACTCCCATTACTTAATTAAATGTTCTGGGAACCTTTAAAGAACTTAGACTAGGTGTTCTGTCAACATTTTAACACCATTATAGGAATGTCCTGTGCAGCCTAACTTAAACATTGCACAACTGAGCATATTCTGTTTTTTGTAATGTACCCCCTGTTCCCACAACCTAATTAAATGTTCTGGGAACCTTTTTAAAGAAGTCAGCAGGGCAGAAATGTGACGAACTGACTTGTTGAAAAGGTGGCATCCTATGACGGTGCCACGTTGAAAGTCACTGAGCTCTTCAATAAGGCCATTCTACTGCCAATGTTTGTCTATGGAGATTGCATGGCTGTGTGCTCGATTTTATACACCTGTCAGCAACGGGTGTGGCTGAAATAGCCGAATACACTAATTTGAAGAGGTATCCACATACTTTTGTAAACACAGTTGAAGTCGGAAGTTTACATACACCTTAGCCAAATACATTTAAACTCAGTTTTTCACAATTCCTGACATTTAATCCTAGTAAAAATTCCCTGTCTTAAGTCAATTAGGATCACCACTTTATTTTAAGAATGTGAAATGTCAGAATAATAGTAGACAGAATGATTTATTTCAGCTTTTATTTATTTCATCACATTCCCAGTGGGTCAGAAGTTTACATACACTCAATTAGTATTTGGTAGCATTGCCTTTAAATTGTTTAACTTGGGTCAAACGTTTCGGGTAGCCTTCCACAAGCTTCCCACAATAAGTTGGGTGAATTTTGGCCCATTCCTCCTGACAGAGCTGGTGTAACTGAGTCAGGTTTGTAGGCCTCCTTGCTCGCACACGCTTTTTCAGTTCTGCCCACAAATGTTCTATAGGATTGAGGTCACGGCTTTGTGATGGCCACTCCAATACCTTGACTTTGTTGTCCTTAAGCTTTAGAAGTATGCTTGGGGTCATTGTCCATTTGGAAGACCCATTTGCGACCAAGCTTTAACTTCCTGACTGATGTCTTGAGATGTTGCTTCAATATATCCACATAATTTTCCTTCCTCATGATGCCATCTGTTTTGTGAAGTGCACCCGTCCCTCCTGCAGCAAAGCACACCCACAGCATGATGCTACAACCCCTGTGTTTCACGGTTGGGATGGTGTTCTTCGGCTTGCAAGCAACCCCCTTTTTCCTCCAAATATAATGATGGTCATTATCGCCAAACAGTTCTATTTTTGTTTCATCAGACCAGAGGACATTTCTCCAAAAAGTACAATCTTTGTCCCCATGCTTTTTTATGGTGGTTTTGGAGCAGTGGCTTCTTCCTTGCTGAGCGGCCTTTCAGGTTATGTCGATATAGGACTTGTTTTACTGTGGATATAGATACGTTTGTACCTGTTTCCTCCAGCATCTTCACAAAGTCCTTTGCTGTTGTTCTGGGATTGATTTGCACTTTTCGCACCAAAGTACGTTAATCTCTAGGAGACAGAACGCGTCTCCTTCCTGAGCGGTATGACGGCTGCGTGGTCTCATGGTGTTTATACTTGCGTACTATTGTTTGTACAGATGAACGTGGTACCTTCAGGCGTTTAGAAATTGCTCCCAAGGATGAACCAGACTTGTGGAGGTCTACACTTTTCTTTCTGAGGTCTTGGCTGATTTCTTTTGATTTTCCCATGATGTCAAGCAAAGCGGCACTGAGTTTGAAGGTAGGCCTTGAAATACATCCACAGGTACACCTCCAATTGACTCAAATGATGTCAATTAGCCTATCAGAAGCTTCTAAAGCCATGACATCATTTTCTGGAATTTTCCAAGCTGTTTAAAGGCACAGTCAACTTAGGGTATGTAAACGTCTGACCCAATGGAATTGTGATACAGTGAATTATAAGTGAAATAATCTGTCTGTAAACAATTGTTGGAAAAATTACTTGTGTCATGCACAAAGTAGATGTCCTAACCGACTTGCCAAAACTATAGTTTGTTAACAAGAAATTTGTGGAGTGGTTGAAAGACGAGATTTAATGACTCCATGTTTATGTAAACTTCCGACTTCAACTGTATAATGTAATTGGCTTTTTGTACATAGCAGTTATTTTTTCTCTGCAAGTAGAATTGTACTCGGATGCAGTTATTTCCCTTTCTTGTATTAGTCTAGTATTGAATGGCCAT